TTAGTACTGACTTTATTTTATTGTAATCATAATTTACCTTCTGTTAAAATACTGTAAATCTTCCTAAAATGCAATAAATAAATAAATAAAAATAAATAAACAAAATTAACACATTAACAAAGAAAGATAAAACTAAATATAAAAAAGATATAATACGCAGTGTCTTTGGCCTCACACAGTACGCTCGCAGTGAACACTCGGGCTAGTGTGGACCACGGATTTTGAGTGAAGAGAAATATGAATGGGAATAGATATTTTGTTTCAGGCTTCAGGTCTTGGTATCACTTTCAAAATCGCGTAAGCCAATATCATGGAGCATAATAGATCCACTCTTGCCGCGTCATCGCAACCGATTGAATCCACCAACATCACGGGATTAAATTTGTGCCGAAATCTAATCATGGCGAAAGCAACGTTATTTATAGATTCAATTGCTGTGAAATTTAGCTGCCACCTGGAAGATTGCATTAGTCGATCTCATTAGAACAGTATTAGGACTTTGATTTTGTGGCTTGTATTATTGTTGTTCTATTCAAAGTGCATCGTGTGTATAAAACTACGGTATTAATTGATAGACAAAACAAAAATTGTTTATTCAAGATAAAAATTCTCGTCTTGGTTATCTAATAATAAATATATAAAAAACTTAGAGGTGTCAAGGGACACCCGGATGGAACGAAATTCCTTTCGATTAATTTATATGTTAATTGGTATCATAACAGTATGATAGATTATCTCGACACCAATCTTACGACGAAAAAAAAAAACTAACTTCATGAGGTGTTCCCACGCGGTCACCCATCCAAGTACTGACCTCGCCCGACGTTGCTTAATTTCGGTGATCTGACGAGAACCGGTGTATTCAACGTAGTATGGACGTTGGCGATAGCTAAATTGAAAATGTAAAATATAACAACTATTGCAAAAAGTGTCGTTACAACTTTTGGTCTTAATTTATTCCGTCTCTTTCGCAACGCTCGATAACTTCGTTCCAACAAGACTAATTTAGTTAAATGATTCCAAAAATAATTTTCATTTCTTATCCCTACAAAAAAAAGCCAACATCACGAGGTGTTCTCAGGCGGTCACCCATCCAAGTAATGACCTCGCCCGACGTTGCTTAACTTCGGTGATCAGACGAGAACCGGTGTATTACAATAGCAAATAGCAAAAAAGTGTCGTGACAACTTTTCGTAAGAATTTTTTCCGTCTAGCCCCCTTTCACAACGCGCGATAAGGAACTTCGTTCCAAAATCTTATTTATTTTACAGTTTATTTTATTTTTGCTCTCAAACATCACATACGTTAAAATGATGACAAATATATATTTATGAATATATGTAATAGAAAGGATATACATATATGAAAGTGACATTAGAACTTAAGAAGGTGCAGTCGCCAACCAGATCCATGCAACTTCCTCACAATCCTGTAGCCTGCAATATCTCAGCACACAACTAACGAGAACATACACTGTAAATACATAATTATGTAGGAACGAAGAAAATAATAATGATAGAATATAATTAACACAGCAAACGACTCGGCGAAAGGTCTCAATTGAGTCCTAAAAATTACCACTGATCATTTTGCATCACAGTTTTATTGTAAATCCGACACAATCTGTTAACAGGACCATCAAACATGAAACAGGCGTGTATATATTGTTGAATTTATTTGTTGATTAAATGTTGTGAATTTAGTCAATCAAAACAAAACATACATATTTTACATTTCAACGACACTTTTTCGCATGATATATAGAGAAAATGGTATTTATGTATAACTAACTGAAAGTCTGAGCTTTAAGCCCAATAAAAAGTATAAAAGTAGTACTTGAATTCGCTATTGCAAAAACTAAAACAGATTTTTAAATTAAATAGATTATATCAAAGATGGAGAAAATGAAATAATTTCGTTGAGTAATAAGAAATTAACTGCCTCTTTTGTTGAAGTAATTTGTTTCAAAGTCTTTAGAAGGATTTGGTGAAGTACTAGATCGGATTTCAGAACTGGTTTGGTTGCCGGTTTTTAGTTTATATACACTTTTATGGTACTGTTATATCACATGCAGTATTTCCTATTTTTAAGTATGTAATTGTTGTTTTTAACTCCCGAATAATTAGAACTTTCTTTCTATGTGCGCATTTTAACATACACTCGAACGGTGAAGAGAAACATAGTGAACATACTGGCTTGCCTTAGACGCAAAAAGTCAAGGGCGTTTGTCAGGCACAGGAGGCTGATCATCTACTTTTCTATTAGATAGATTGACAAATGACAAGAACTGAGACCCAGACCATAATAGTTTGTAGCGGCGCTATTTATTATTTTATTAATTGGAACTAGTTAATTTAATACACTTTTTAACTAAGCTTTTTTTGCTTTTATCACAACTTATGTTACATATGAAAACTTGGAATGGAGGACAGAAATACGCTTCGCAATGGCGCGGGCCTCCTCTTTCCCTTCTGACAAACCGCTTCTACGATCTTAATCCAATTCTTAAATGTTATACAAGGATTTGAAATTGTTATATTTGGCAACATATACTGTAGGGTGTGAGGTTGGACCAAAAACCTACTTAAATATCGCATTCGTGGCCTATGATATGTGAACGTATCGTAGAATGCTGCGGATCAGAAGACAAAGTTACAAACGATGTTTATAAACGAACTAGCAAAAAAGTAGAACTTGTATGAACCAAGCAGAGGAAAGCTCATACCCTCTTTAACCACCAATCCATAAGGTCTGGAAGTGGATGGGCACAATTCCGGGTAAACACACGAAATTTTTGGCTGTAGAACAAAAGAGTGTTTAGCGTTCAAGTCTGTGAAACAACTATTTAGATTGTCAATGAAGGTGAGGTTTTGGAGATTGACTGTCGACCTTCAATGGGAGACGCACCTCAGGAAAAAGAAGAAACTTACATTTAAGAGAAAGCAAAGTTTGGTGTAACAGTGCTGATTCTGCTTCTATTGAATTTTTTTATTGAAATAATCATTTTATTAAAATTTTAAACCGAAAAGATTCTCCTAATTAACTATAAACCGGTTGTATTAAAAACCGGTTTTCAAGCTCTTGCTTCGAGAGTAAAGCACCTCCATGAAAGCTGGCTTTGTTGAAAAACTCAAAGGATTTGAAATGTAAGCAGTTTAGAATTTAAAACGTCTTCAGTAGATTTTAATTACAATCTCAGGCGTATCAGAATACGGATTAGCGTCTTTTGATACATTAATTCTTCATCATGACAAAAAAATATTTATACATAGCTTACCGGTCTTATAATAGTTCAATAACAATCGATTTTACGTTACAATTTGCAATTCATTTTGATATATTTTTTGTTGGTTGTTCTTGGAGGCTAGAGGTGCGTTTTGGATCATGTTCCACTGAAGTATTTGTTTCTCACATATTTAGTTATTTCGAATAATGTGGTAAAAATAGTATATATTTAAAGTACGCATAACCGACGAGCATGCATGCTGAATGTTATGAATGTGGATGAAGCGAGAGAGGTATGTCAGGACCGTAGTTGAAATTGTGGTCTCTGCTTACCCCTTAAGCAAAAGGTGTGATAATAAATAAAAAAATATAGATTGTACGTGAAATAGTTAATTTTATTTCTTTAGTTTTTGGCCTGTTTGAGGCTCAATTGTAACAATCACCATTTGCATTATTATAACAAGTTCGCGGTCATGGAAAGAAAGGTTAAATTAAATTAAAGCCTTTAAGAAGCTTGGTTCAGAAAGGCGAGATGGTACTTTCACTCCAGGCCACCGTATGCAACTCTATAAAGCGCAAATTCGGCCCCACATAATGTACTGTTTTCACCTTAAGGCCCGAGCTCCCCAGTACAAGCTCCAATCGTCAACGAGCGGCATGATCCCATGGCGTTGCGCATAGATCTTGGGTCTCTCTGCATCTTCTACCGTCTTTATCATGGAGAGTGTTAAGAGGATTTGTTTGGACCTGCAGCTGAGTTTCATCATCGCACGTCGAGGTAGAATATGAAATTTCATCCATATCACCTGGACTTCCGTCGTTCCACGACTCAGCGTTTTTAAGGCATTTTTTGCCGATAGATTTTATCATCAAATAAATTGATCAGAGTGTATAGCATTATTTGCATTTTCTAAATAGTTTTAAAACAAAATTCAATCAGGGGTAAGGGATCCAATTTCCTTATCTGGCAGATTATTTTACAAGAAGTTTGCCAGAGCTTTTCGTGATCGCCCCCGTGGGAATACTGCACTGAAATTTGTTTACTATATCTCTGTTAAGCTTTTTTATTTAATAGAAATATATTATCAATTTATACGTAATATATATATGTATATTATTTATGTCAATTAATAAATTAACCACCGAGATAGAACGCGTTCAATTATCGCAAATTCACCACTATTTAAGCTTGCATAATTTCGGAACAATCTTATTAATATTTTAATAAAATATCATTTTATTATATTCTTAGTACTTTTGACATATTTTGTCATTTCGGGGGTGTATTTTATTTATTTATTTAAAAAAGTCACCCTTAATGTGGTTCACAGATATTCTTTCTTAAACAGTGAAATAAGTTGTAATTGATCGATCTTCTTGCCCATCCATTACTTGGTTAACAGGGAAGCCAACTTCACACCTCAGTGGCGTAGTTGTTAACTAATATTAAATATGACTTCGGGGCACAAGTCGTAATGCCCCCGGCGTTGCATGCGTCCATGGGTCGCGGTTTGGACTTTATTCAAAACCTGTTTTGAAAATCTGCTTGAACAGGAGGCATCTCATATCCCATAAAAATACATATTGCGTTTGTCTCGAATCGATTCCCGGCATAAGACATATGTGTTTAAAAAACTACCCTAAACCCAATAGGGCAAATAGGCCTTTAGGCAGCAAAGACTATTAACTTAAGAATAAGCTAAGTAAGTTTAGTTAATAATTTGGTGCTCCAAAGTCTTAGAACTAAACTTTATTTTTGAAATTTTTTAATAAGGATGTTTATTTCTGATGAAAATCTTGCATTCAAAATTCACACGAAAGCTTTAAATGAAATAATTGAACAGTATGTACAGTAACATTAATTCATGACGTCATATCTGTGCCGACATTTGTTTATGTACCACATAGTTAGGTGTCGAATATTGGCCCAGCTTGCCGGCTTTCACGCTTGGGTGGCTTACACCCGGTGACAATCTGCCCTCGCAATAACAATATGGCTTTGACATAAGATATAGTGCAACCTATTGGTAAATTTACCATCCAATTGGATATCCAGAGATAAAGGCTGATGTGATGATGCAACGGCCGATCTATAATCAACAAGACAAGAAAAATTGTTCAATTTTGGTAATGTTTTGAATTTAAGAAAACAAAATTTTAAGATCTGGATATCAAAATCAATTTTCATTTAGTTTTAATTTTTTTATCTTTCGTGTTTGTTGTGTCTGCCTATTTCCTTTGTTCTTGTCGCATTAAACGTAGTATTTTTTTTTGTACCAATGAACCAGTGTGCCAAGCGTTGGCAAGCTTTTATAAATGAATATTATTATTATTACGCCTTTATTGCTTATACCTAGTATAATATATATAATTTTAGTTCGTTTTAATTACATAACCTAACTTAATCTAATACATTAGATGCGCCGGCCACATAGGCATCTTCCAGTTGCTTCCATTCTTTTCTAATGTTAGCTCTTCTTGTCAAAGTTGTGTCTCCTATTCTCTTTACATCATCCGCATCTCTTTCTCTGTCTTCCTCTTTTCCTTTCTCCATCTCGTGGTTGCCATTCTGTAATAACTTTTGTCCATTTAAACCTGCCATATCTCTTCATGTCTATAAATAAATAAATAATATCTAAATATCATAAGCAACATCTGTATATGAATCACAACGTTAAAGTGTAGGATAACCTGATGTTTTTACGTGTGGTTTATATAGTAACTATATATTTTTATGGGACATGAGGCATGTGGTTCACTTAGAATGCTTACCACCAATGGACACTGCAAAATCAGCAGGCTTGCCGCATTTGGCATTGCCGACCATGCCACGTTCTACTCGCCACGGCTTCTTAGTAGTAATTGGAAATTTCTGATTAGCAGTTGGTTTTAAAGTGAATGTGCGTGCCAAAATTTCTCTGTCGTGGAACGCCAGACGAGGTCAACGTGGAATTTATACGTATGGAGTATTATAAGTCTTGTCAGAATAACTTACAACGCCCTAAAGGATTCATCATTGCCTCCGCAATAACATGAATGCTTAACCTCAACTTACAAGCTCTCTATTTGATCTCCAAGGTTCTCAAACAAAAACATCTTACAAATAAGATTACAGATCAAAGTACTCTGGTGACGTGTTCGCGTGACCGCTCTTCAAACAGCCCCTAAGTTCTTCCAGACGACTGGATTCAGAGCAAATACGAGCCACGGATCCGGAATTAAACGGTCGCCTTGTTAGTTTAACACCTTTTCTGTATATTTGTATTTTTGAATCATTCAAGTGTACTAGCTAATATTTTATTAGCTAGTTCGTCAAACTATATAAAAATACCTATTAAAAAATTAAAATAACTTTATTCATATAGGTAAAAATTAATTCTAAATTTACATTTACTACCAGTTCGCAAGTCAAGGGCGTAGAGCAGGTAAGAAGAACTGGCAAGAAACTTTCCACCACTCTTTTTAATCGCAAGGAGCAAATCAATCCGAAGGATTAGGATCATTTAAACATTCGTCGTCTTTAAAAAGCTTTATTGATTAATTTACTTTATATTCTATTATAATAAGCACTGACGATAAAATCATTTTAAATAAGTAGAAATGTTAGGATCTATTCACGGAGGGAGATCACAGGGAGTGCTCTGAAGAAAATTTCATTCAACAACTGCGACGGCTGGCGTTTACAACTCGCTTCCTAAGACACTTTCGCGCACCATGTCTCTATGGAATCAGATGCCAATATCGGTATATCCGAACGATAGAAGGGCCTTCAAGAAAGAGTACCATTTCCAGGGACATACCAGTAAGCATCTGGACGTTGCAGGTGTCCACGGCTGGCGATAAGCATTCTAAGTGAACCGCCTGCTCGTATACTCCGTGACTGGAAAAATTCTCGCGATCTGACTGATTAGTTACCAAATATTCGCTTTTCTTTATGTTTTCTCGTTTTCTATCTCAAATTAGTAGACCTATCTAACTCAGATTTTCATTACGTAGAATTCTGACATTTCATAAATGTTGCTACTAAAAAAGTTCTCCCCCGAAAAAGGGACAAATTTGACCCATTTGAGGGCAATAAAAAATAAAATGCTACGTATTTTTTATGTTTTAGCTACAAAAAGGTAAATCTAAATATTTACTTCATATAAAAATAAAAAATATTTCAATATCACGAACAATATCGAATTAACTTTAATTACTTTATTTTATTATTTAGCTGGCAAAGTTAAAAAAGTTTTCTTTCTTTCTTATAGTAACTGCTACTGTTACTCAGTAGGTACCTCGGATTCCAAATTTTCAAAAGCGCTACGAATATGGAACCACATCGATCATTTTTGGTTAGGTGATAACATAATTGATGCCGTCGGCGCTTTGTTAGAGAGCCCTGGTGCACGCCTAACAGGGATATTATAGATATAGCTATATTATGTTTGAACACACAATATGTCTAAAACTCTTTGATACTGGTCATATTTGTAGCAGCACCTACAATATGTGCCAACGAAGAATTATGATAACATCATACCCTGTCACGCGCCAACGAAATTCCGACCGCTAAGGATATAACCATCCTTCCTGCAAATATTTCTTAAAACAATCGCATTAGTATTAGGTTAAGGACCTAATATTTAGATTTTCCATTTTATAAATAAAAGAATCATGGTTTTCGAAAAACAAATGCACGAGTATATAGTTGTAAAAAATTGAATTTGGAATTCTTAACCAAAGAGGAGTTATTTGCGGTCAAAGTGGCCAGTACGACAAAACGTCACTTTACTAATAATAAAATAATATAACGTTATTTAAAATTAAAATTGCAAATACTTAAAGTTAGCTTAAATTGTAAGTAAAAAGTCAACATTCTAGTAAACCGTGACCTAATTCCTAAGAAAATAATTTGAAACGTAATAAAATTCATGAGAAAAGTTCTCCCAATTAACTAGTTTTATTGTACGTCTGTCTTTAAATAGCCGAAGTTTGAATAATTGACACGAAAAATTATGTTGAATTAAAACGATATTCAATTTGTTAAAGGTTTCGTAAATATTTTTTTTATTATGTAACAAATAGCAAATGTCCTAAGAGATTGTATTTCTGCAAGTGTTTAGGATTACTAGTGGCTTTGCTGCCACTACACCATACATTAAGTCATATTGGTTTCATGAGCAACTAATAATTATATACAATTACTAGTGGACCCCACAGACGTTGTCCTGCATGATATTTAAAGCGATTAGGATATTAAGCAAAGTATGAAAGTACCGACTTCAGTGCCATCTGCCGGGCTGATTTGTGAATCTAAACCATTCCCAGATCCCCTTGAACACACACAAAAAATTTCATCAAAATCGGTCCAGTCGTTTGAGAGAAGTTCAGTGACATACACACTCACAGAAGAATTATATATATAAAGATACATGGCTTCAGGGTACTCACGCTAGGCTACAAAAATACTGGAACTAAGATAAATAACGACTAGTGGTTTGGAGTTTCTTATCTTTTTGAAATGAAGGTAGTAGTTTTTTATATTCCTTTGCGTTTTTTTAGATTTAACTGTTTGGTAGAAATTGTTCATGTGAATTTAAATCGTACTTATTCTATCTGTTTAAAAAATTCTGTTTGTAAATTGCTGAGTAAGATAGTTTTGAAATAAAAATAATATATTAGATAAAAATAAAATAAATCAGTGGCGCTACAACCTTTAGGTCTGGGACTCAGATTTCTTTATCTGTCTCATTATCATTTGTCAATCGAACAGGCAAGTAGGTGATCAGCTTCATGTGCCTGACACATGCCATCGACTTTTTGGGTCTAGGGCAAGCCGGTTTCCTCACGATGTTTTCCTTCTTTTTTCGAGCGAATGTAAAATGCGCACGTAGAAAGAAAGTCTTCTGCACAGCCGGGGATCGAACCTGCGACCTCAGGGATAGAGACGCACGCCACTAGGCTTAATATATTACATATTTATTATATATCTATCTGTATTTCGGATATTTTTATACAATTTTATTTAAAAACAAATTTATATGTAACCTCATAGGAAAGAAATATTTATCGAAATTTTGTACTATAAATACACAGTTCCACACACCACAACCTACCTAGGTATAACTAAATCATAGTCTCAGTCATAACACTAATGGAATAAATCCAGTGCAAAAATGCGTCTTTATTCAAAACAATAGGCCATTCGACGTCTTTACAAGTTGAGATCTTAATGCCTTAATTATACATGTACTGAAACAACAAGTATTATCCAAACTGTAAAGCTAATTTGAAGACGTGTCACGCGTGAAGATTATAATATGATAATGTCCTTATTTGGGTTCTTGAAATTACAACTTGTTTGATAATAAAACAATTTTTGACCGGATTGAAGTTATGTATTTACAATTATTTTTCATAATTTTAAATTTAACCGACGTTTCGCGTGCTTTACAGCGTGCGTGGTCACGGTGACCAATAAAAGTGAAAAGACAATACTATGTACAACTTGCGTATAACAATAATTATTGTTAATTTATTTAATCATATTCCAAAACAAATATTCCCAGATAAAACAAAAAGTTTAATAGACATGGTTTAATGATATGGTGGTTGGGACATATGATTTTGCGTGTGAGATGGTGCTGCGATTAAATCTGAACAGTTAGTAATAGTTTTCATTATTGTTAATTTTATTTATAGGTTCTGTTATATTTGTGACACTAGTTCGTATTATTCTAGTTAAGCAACTTGTGATAAACGGCAATCTACTCATTGTAACGTTCCTTCCTAGAAGCATAGACTACGGCATACCGTATTAACCGTAAACCTTCTGTATAAGTAAATTGTTTAATAATTATACATTTACCCAAGTATTATCACTTTCGTATAACGTTTACCAAGAAAAATTATTGACGGAATATGTTTACGACGAAATCCCACAGAGATTATCGAGGACCCTTACGATGGGTATGCTAATTTCCTCATGGAAATTTATGCCTGCACCGAAGGGCTCGAAGATACAATAAAATATGGTATGCCGGCTTTGAGGAGTGCCTTTTTGGTTGAAATAATGTGCTTACCATTATTCAATCAAAACCATAAGTGGTTCTAGGATATTTGGTGTTTTTCTGAACCTATATTTGCCATGAAAACGAGTGTGAAATTTCTCTGTTGTAAAGAATTTTAAAGCTACCTTTAACTACTACGAACATTAAACTATTCTGAATCGCCATATGTAGCGGAACTCTCGAGCAGCCATTTTTGTGTCTGTTTCTCTGATCATTTTCAGAATTATAAATTTTAATTCTTGTTAATTAACGCTCCTAACAAATGACAATCAATAAAATAAAAAACAATCGTAATTTAAAGCATACAACGAGCATTAAATATTTAAATAAATAAAAAAATATAGCCTTTATTGACAATCTTGTTAAGTTACATTTTATCTTATTTCTACTTAGTTATTAACGAAATTTAGATAAAGTAAATGTAAATATTATCAAATTATTTCCTATAAGACACCGGTTTCTTAATCGTCTTGCTTTTCAACATAGGCCTCCCCAAGTATTCTCCACAAAGATCTATCTCTTGCTTTCCTCATCCATGTCGCTCCTCCCACCTCTTTAATATCATCTTCCCATCTAAGATGTTGTCTACTTTTACTTCTCGTTTCAATATTTTTGTTTGTACAACGAGCATTAAACGAGTCCAAATAATGTATCTACAATAGCTATTTGTGGTTTATAATGTCATTAATACAATTAAAATATTTTTTACAGGCAACTTCTGGCGCCAAATCTCCGTCAAACCATCTACCATCCAAATGGAGCTGAAAGTGAGATAAGAACGGTAAGTACAGAATAATGTTTAATTAATTAATTACAATCACTTAAATACGCAGTGTTGGCCTAGTGGCTTCAGCGTGACTCTGCTATGCACCAAATTTCTGTCTATGTGCGCATTTAACATTCGCTCAAAGGGTGAAAGAACACATCGTGAGGAAACCGGTTCTCCTTAGAGCCAAAAAGTTGACGGCGTGTGTCAGGTACAGGAGGCTGATCACCAACTTGCCTATTAGATTGACAAATGATCATGAAACAGATACAGAAATCTGAGGGCCAGATCTTATAAAAGGTTTTTTTCAAAACGTTACGATTATGTCATGTATAAACGAAGAAGTAAGAAAACCCTCCAAAAATCAGTAGCAACAAACCTGGTTTTTCGGCTATGATGTCTTAAAACACTGACATACGCCGTCGATTTATGGTCTAACGCAAGCTGGTTTCCTCAAAGTTGTTTAGTGAATATTTCTGAGTTATTATCTAGTACTCTAAGGCAAATAAATAAACATATACTCACACAAATAGCAAATGTCATTCAGAGTGCAAACGAATAAAGCTTAGACGGGCTTCAAAAGTAAAATCTCTATTTAGAATTGTATGTGCTGTGCGGCCAAAGGTGCAAAATACACAATAACTTTCCGTAATCGCTCTCAACTGCAATTTGTCCAAACTTTGACCAGTCTCTAACTTGCACTCGATAAACTAGAGATTTATTCGACAGATAGTATTTGTCGTAGATTAACTAGTATTAGAGAGAAACGAAATTGTAGATTTCTAGGAATATAATGCAGTAGTGTAAGTTGTTTTATGTTATTATTATGTGAGCCATATTTTATTAGAAGCAATATGTTTTGTGAGCTGGCATAATGTAGGTTTAATTTAAAACTAACCTAATTTACTAAAAAGGATTTTTAACATAAGAAAGTGTCCAATAACACTACTTACAGTCTTTATTAAAGGAAACGCACTCTGTTCTTGTGTCATATTTAAGCACTTACCACCGTTTTCTCCTTTTTAATCTTCTTACTTGGACCGTGGTCTCAAGAAGTTGAATAGCCTCAACATTTACGTATTGGTGGAGCCTTCGAGTGCTCCAGCAATATTTTTATCATTGTGGTGACGTCCTCTGCATTACGGTCCCAATGGAGGTTGTCATTGCGAATGTGTGGTTCATACCAGAGAATTTATATACAAAATTATACAAGTTATAATAGGTTTAGATTTAAATGTCATAATTACCTCACCTCGACATCCGTCGTTATTCGTCCTTCAAAGAGCGTACCAATTCTTGAAAGGCTGGCGACACACTCGCGAGCCCTCTGGTATTTAGTGACCATGGGCGTCGCTATCATTTAACATGAAATAAGCCTCCTGCCCGATTGCCCCCTGTACTATAAAAAAATAAACTTATTAAAATCGTTTAGGCAAACAAACTTGGCTGATTCTAAGTCTTTATTTTGAGCTAAAATTGTAAATAAAGTTATCGCTAAAATCAGTATGAAAGCGTTTCAAATGCTTTGAGAAATCTGTCATTAAAACATATTTGTTAAGGTTAATTTTACAAGTTACATTTTGCGTATATTTAAAACAAAACATATGTTTCAATTACTAAGCGTACAACATATAACATTGTTGCCAAAAGATTTTTCTGTTAACACCTACTTGTAGCGACACCTACAATTTGCGCTTTGGTCACGCATGACGTCATTGGTGCGATGACGTCATATCCTGAAATGCGCTAACGAAGATATTCCAGCCGCTAAGGATATATGGAACTTCTGGACCTCAGCCACGGGGTTACTTCGCATTACGCTCACTCCAGTGAGCTTCCGTCCTGCCCTTCAGGCGATTGACGCCAACAACGGCCCAAGTCGAGGTCCGAGTTTCACAGGAGACGCCCTTCCGCTAGTTGTGGGAAAAAGCCAAAACAGCCCGAGATGAGGTGTAAACAGCTACAAAGGCCATCCAATCAGTAGTTAGACGACCCTTCCTTTAGGTTGGAAGAACAGTACACCATCCTTTCTCCTCAGATTCTATAAAAATCTATAAACTATGGCTTAGAAGATCAGCAACTTGACAAAAAAGAAACAGTGATGAAACGGATGTAATATGAAACCAAGGAGGTTTTATTTCTCCTGGATTATTATAATAAAGTTTCCATAAAATCTATATGAACTTTAGGCAGTTAGACTCCTTGATTGACGCTTGGCACCATGTCCCATTCAGAATTTCAGTAATATTTATTCAAATTCGACATTTCTCAATGTGAAGACGGAATCTGTACTTATTTATAAGGGGAAATTAATCGGTCTAAGAATGTTTTAGATTTTAATTGAGTTTCGACAGTTTGAACAATTTATCAGCGAATATTGTATAAGCCGATAACTCAGATTGCTCTCCAATCAAATTAAATTATTTCTATTATTCACAACGAACTTATCCATGAAAATCGGTGTCTTAAGTTTTGTTTAATTCTGAATGAATTAGATTTATCAAGGATTAATGTAATCTTCCAAGTAGTTTATGTTGATTTTATTTATTGTATATATAATCTGAAAGAACAAAAATAAGTATTCAACAGTGTTGTGGAAATACCAGAACCTCGAACAGATTTAACAATTATATACTAAAACTAAAGGCTTAAAATTATAATAATTATATTGCGCGTATAACGTCACAATCCCATACAAATATCGACTGTCCATAGGTAAAGGGGTTCATTCTCATTAAAAACATACATGTCCCTTACATATACTTATTTTTTATGTTTAAGTTGGAAAGATCTCCAAATGTAATATGTTAAATGAAACTCTTTGTTCGAAGCTGGGTTTCTACTGGCTATAATCGCTTAAAATAAGAGCTTATAACTAATATAAAATTAGGGATAGTAGATAGTAGATAGCAACGCTAACAAAAACTAACTTAGCTTATTTAAGAGTTCTTAAATCTAAGTGACACTTCAAAAGTGTAGTCTACCTATTGGGCATTATTGGAAAGAATAATGTTATATTACACTTTATGAGTGTGATAACAAAAGGCTCATTTTGGCTTCAAGTGTGCGACGCTTCTAATTATTAACTAAAATATATATGTACCTTATCTAATATTAGATCACAGAACTCGTATTTCAATTTAAAAAATGATACTTGTAAAGTAATTCTCTCAAAGAAAATCATGAACAGTGAAGACCAAAGAAATTTTTCTAAATTACTATCTATTTCCGCACAAATATCCGGAGTCGCCGGATTAACGGCCTTACGGCGGCTGTAACACATTGCTCGAAGGGTCGCAGCCCAAAACTCTGTTCAAGCGACAGCGATAGCGGAACGCAATGTAGGGGGTAAACGCTCGCAATACACTTTAATTCTATTTTCACTTACCATTCCGCCGGTTTTGGCAGTGTTGGCCTAGTGGATACAGCGTGCGACTCTCATCCCTGAGGTCGTAGGTTTGATATGGCTGTGCACCAATGGACTATCTTTGTATGTGCGCATTCAACATTCGCTCGTGCGAAGGAAAACATCGTGAGGAAACCGACATGTCTAAGACCCAAAAAGTCAATGACGTGTGTCAGGCACATAAGATCACCTACATGCTGATTTAAAAATGATCATGAAACAGATTCAGAAATCTGAGGCCCAGACCAAAAAGGTTGTAACGCCACTGATTTATTTTTTTATTCCGCTGGTTTGAAAAATAACCCAACACAGTTATTCCTTCGTTCATTTGACTTCTCTCTAGATTATAAGTCGACTTAAGCTATAAGGAATGCTACCACTACTACTATTATACAGTCTTAAGCAGTAACCGAATGGACTTGTTCAAGGAACAAGGGCATTTGGATGACGATGGCAAAAAAATGGGCTGGAAAAATTTAGAGGAGGTCTTCTACCGGAGAGGGATAGCATCTTAGAGTACCTAGTAAAATTTTCATTTATATCTATTTTTGTTAAATGTATTTCGATAAGATGTGTGAATCATGATATATTTTGCAACAATCTTACAACTTACCGTAACTTTGTTTATGATGCTCTTAATGAGGTTTAAGTTTCTATTTAGTTTTAGTTCTTATTTGTTTATTTTTTTTTATTCACTTTGCATTAGAACTTATAAATAAATAAATCAATATCTAATTAGATATAGTCCAAACATGAAAGCCACAAATTTCACACAAATTCGTTCTAGTATCACAAAGCTGGTGCAAATCGCGTTCGCTCGTACTAAACACATCCTAAGGGTGTCACTATGCAAACGTTAACGTTCGGACGTCATAAAACGATCCGTACCGGTGCTTCAGTGAACTCACCCTGAAGATACGCTGGCACGCAATTTTCTTGACCTCCATTGACCGTGTTTGCGTGAACGGGTTTAATTGGACCATTTTTGGGCCGGACCGTGAGTTACGTAAGCTATTTCGTGATAGTAAACACTGTTGTTTATGGAAATATATATTCCGAGACAGATTTTTTCTATTCTATTTTTTAATAAGTTTCGTTGTGAACTATATATCTATAGACTTTCCAAATTCTTGATACAACAAGAAAAAGACGCGTAAAGAGAACTTAACCTTTAGAGTTAATAGACCTAGTGTAGTGAATAAAAGTGCAAGTGCGGTATCTCGGACACACGAACATAGTGTAAAAACATTATAGAACACTAAGACTGTTAATAAACATTACTTTAGTTTAATCTATTCACTAGTATTGTAGAAAATTAAGTCAACAATTTTGAAAATGTTGAAGATTCCTAAATATATATCATCATGATTATATATCATATAAATCATGGTGAATGATTTATAATTCAACAGTTTATGTTTGACATAGTACCTATACTTAAAGAATCTAAACTTTTGCCGCTTTTACACTTGCATATGAATTGCATTATTTATAATTAGTTATAAAAAAGTTTAGGTTAAATGTTTCTTGTTGTTGTTTATATTATTTATTTAGTTTAATTTTTATATTAATAAGTTTTCTATTGTATTATGCTCCTGTAAGAATAGGAAATAAGGAAATAAAAAAATAATAAAAAAATGTATAGACACCTAAATGAGCGTTGTATTACATTCTAAACTGATTTGTAATCATGAAAACAGTGTAAAATCATGAGATTTTTCCAAGCACACACTCGGCTAAATTAAACAAGGTGGGAAGAAAATTGAAAGCAATCTAAACTTCCTTCAATCCAATTTGAATTTCCTTCGGCCCCTTCGATACAGGGATGGCTTAACACGATACGACCTTCATCGAACGTTTGCCAATCACTTTCATTTTCAATTTATTTTAAGGGAATTTATTAAAATCTCATTAACACAAAAAACCGAGGTCAGTACTTTGTTTAGTGTGTAGTAATTTAATTTTTTTCAATGTTAAATTTCAAAGTACTTTACAAAATCTTTCATATGGAATTAATAAAAATACAAATGGTTCGTTAATACATTATTGTAACATCGTTAAACATAAGCTAACTGTACTTTATTTTACTCTATATTAACCACTCGCGTACAATAATAGAAAATAAGCGAAATAATGAAATGTTTATTGCTATGTAACGAATGAATGCAATGTAACAGTTGAAGAGAGTGCCTACGTTTATATTCTCAGGGCGTAACTCCGACGATTTAGGAAATCTCCACGCTTGTAAAACTAAGGAAGCCGGAGTGAGAAAAAAGCACAGCCTTAAACAGTTTAATTAGAAATAAAATAGTAAATCGCGATAGTTCGGTAGAAATTGTATTTTTTAAAACAGTTTAGTGTCTAATTTGTAATAGATGCTTTTTCATTAATTTTGTTTGAGGGTAGCATTATTTCATTATTTATTTTTAAAATCGATAGACGCTGTAAATTTTTTGTTCCTAGACCTGCCCTTTACAATTTTTACCATAGCGTAACAAACATACAGAAAAATTCCATTAGTACACAACCTCCCCTGCTCTCAGACGGTTCCAGTCCAGCAAAATATAAATACAAGAACCACGCAGTCGTACGTCTAGTTAGGAACAATTTGATAAATGCTCCCTATCAAAGAGCAGCCGCAAAGAATCTTAAACTCGGGACATTTACCGATCCATAATTTTTCTCCAACGTTGCGTCCTATAATTAAATTTTCAAGAAGTAGGGGAGGTGATCTTAAAAAGATTCATGCGTAAAAATCGGCCCCCAGACCGCCCTCGTTTAGGAGACAGGATTAATAGACGTCAAACGCAATAATATTATCGCCTGGTAGAAATATACTTTTCGTTTGAATTTTATAGATATATAAGAAGCTTGTTTGCGTAAAAGTTTTTCTTGTAGGTTTCAAACGTTTCATAGGGATAGACAAATAACATCGATATTTTTTATTTCGTAAACCTACAGCTAACATATATAACATTATTTCGTAAACCTACAGCTAACATACAACAAATAACAATCACACTAAAATATAGCCAGATATGGAAAACATAATATTTTCAAAAAGGTTCAAAGAATTACAAAAGGAAAAAATCAATAAAAATTATTAAATACATGTAACTAAGTAATAGTTTATTCGGTTGTGGTGGTGTAATGGTTGCAGCTCCTTACAAACATTGTGTAAAACAAAAAACTTGGCGATTAAAAAGAGGCAAGTTCTTCTGTTCCGTTGTACGCCCTTGATTTGAGAACTGGCACTAAATGTAAAATTAGATGCATTAATATGTATTTGTTTACTGACAAGTCATAAGTGTACACAATGTGTTACCTATATGATTAAATGATTTTTGAATTTTTTTTGAATATGTAATAAACTACGTCAAATTCTACCTCTTAATTTAAGACAAATATGTAAGTATTTGAGAACCAAGGGATTTGAGAACTGGCAGTAAATGTAAAATTAATATGTATTTCTTTTTTGACGTTCATAAGTGCACATTATGTCACCTATATGAATAAACGATTTTGACTTTGACTTTGTGTTGTGTGATGGTGTGAAAGTGAGTGTGGGGTGCGCTCATGATGCAGGAGATATAGCGTTATGAATATTCATAATAGGTACTTCTTTTACTTAATATTCCGCGATAGCTTAAAGAAGTCAAGCTTGAACTGCTTTTATACATTATTATCTTCCAGTTTTCAATAACCGTTGTAGAACCAACATAAAATTACTTACTAGGAGTTGGGAAAATACACAAAAAAATACTAAAATGGTATTACGGGCGAAATATTCCATCCGCATCCTTTTGAGGGACGAATGAATGAGTCTTTTCGATTTAGAAGCTCATTCGGTCCCATTCCTTTCGTTCGCGAGTGAAAAGAAACAACGTAATTGCAACCGCGGCTTTCACCTCGGTCCACTAAACTAGAGGTTCTGGGGCGTAAGCGGGTTATTGCTTAATTACGGGTAATAGTAAATTAGTGCGTAGTTGCGACAGGATATTTATATGGAAAGTTTCATCATCGGACGTCGAAGCAGAATACGAAATTACATTCCTATCACCTCGACGTCGGACTTTCCACAACTGAGTCTTTTTAAGGCAGTTTTTGTCACGCATCACCACTATGTGGAACCATCTGCACACTAAATTATTTCTGAACCAATACGGCTTAGGGGCTTAGGTCCATAGAGGCTATCACTTATCATCAGATGAGCCTACTGCCCGTTTGCCCCCTGTTCAATAAAAAAGTACAGTATCTAAAACGTTGTCAATTAAATATTTCTTGCTGTAAGAACTTCATTGCAAAAATATCTGCCATGTCACAATACTTATTATAAAGCAAAAATGTCACCTTATTTCTCAAACGTCAACAATTTCTTGCTTCTATAACTATATAGATATATAGTTCAACATTGAGATTTTATGAGTCAAAATAGACAATAGAAGTGAAACTTTAAAGAAAGAAAAACATACCAGAATTTTTCACAAAACCAAAATTTGCAATTTCAAATAAAAAAGTAGAATGTAGTCTTGAAGTTTTATTCGCTTTTTTAATAGCCACCAAAGGCTCGCAAGAACTGTATGACAAATTAGGATATCTGGCGAAGCAAGAAATTGTTTTGCCGAATTTCTTTTTTCAATTCAAAAAATTCAAAAATCATTTATTCACGTAGGTAACACAATGTACACTTGTGATTCGTCATTAAAGAAATACATATTAATGCTTCTAATTATACATTTACTGCCAATTCTCAAATCAAGGGCGTAGAACGGAAGAGAAGAACGGGCAATAAACTCTCCGCCACTATTTTTAATCGTCATGTTTTTTTTACACAACGCTTGTAAGGAGCTGCAACCATTACACCATGTTCCACATGACATCTTAAGTAATTAATAATAATAACATAAATTAAAAACAAAGACTTGTCCTCTATCAGCAGGAGGCATGGTGAAATAGGAGCACGCACTTACATTCTCTTGGGAACAACACGCAAACACATAGTCGAAATAATTAACATCACCGCTTACACGAATTCAAGTACGACCAGTCACCACAAGTAGCACCCGTTCACGAGTATGACGCATGGCCAGCCATCGGCCCCCTCGCCATATTTTAGGGAGAGAGACAACCCGACGCATGGACGCCACTTACATGCAATACATATTTGAAAATAAAAACATAGCTATCGCGGAATATGCTCAATATTAAGAATATCCCTATCGCTTAATCGCTTGCATCATGAGCACACCATCACACAACATAGCCGAATTAGGTATTACTTAGGTAAATGTATTTTAAAAAATTATTGATTTTTCCCTTATGTAAACATTTGAACCTTTTTCTATTATGTATTTCATCTTAGGGTATATGTTTAGTATAATTGTTTTTTGTATATAGTTTATGTTAGCTGTATGATTAAAATAAATAAATAAAGAGCTCTATTTTTGGTAATATAGTAGCGTAAATTAAAAATCTTTTACTCATTATACATTACACTTTATACGTACAGCATTGATGCAATGTTATTCAAGTTATTCGATAGTCGTCTCCCTTGAAGAGTTTAATATGTGCGCAATTAACGCTTGCTTCCTCAATGAAGGTATGGGGATACCGTCATAACTTACATCCAAAAGTTAAGTACCAAAAGATTTTTTGAACGTTCAAATAAAAAAAAAACAAACTGTCATGAGCCGTTAACCACTGCACTAGACTTTTTAGTTCTCGTTACAGATAGTTAATTACTACTATGTACCAATATAAGAGCAGTGTTGGCCAAGTGGCTTTAGCGTGCCATTCTCATCCCTGTGATCGCAGGTTCGATACCCGGCTGTGCACGAATGGATTTTCTGTCTATGTGCACATTTATCATTCGCTCGAACGGTGAAGGAAAACATCGTGAGGAAACCAACTTACCTTGCCCAAAAAGTCGAAGGCGTGTGTCAGGCACAAGAGGCCGGTAACCTTCATGCCTATTAGATTGACAATTGATCATGAAACAGATATAGAAATATGAAACCCTAGGTCTAAAAAGGGTATAGCGCCACCAACCCACCAATATAACCATATCGGTTATATACACTAACAAACTCACAACAAAAGTATTTGGTTTTACAAACTATTCTTCCCCTTAATAGAGACTGTAAGTGTTATTGGACACTTTCTGATGAAAATATACTTTTTTAGTAATTTAAGTTAGACTTATATTACTTATTAGTCTTAAGTTAGGCTAGATCGTAATGTTCCATGATGTCTTAGCGAAGAGAAAATGATTAAAACAAATATATAAGGTATATATATTTGTTGTCTACATACGTTTTAATTGCTTTGTTTTGTTCCATTATGTCTTAGTAATTGTATGTCTCATGTTTGCACTTCTTGCGGTAAAATTATTTAATTTATTTCCTAACAGTTGCCTGCAAGAGGTCATATGAAACCCATAAGTTTATAGCGAGCTTTATACATAGTTATTTTAATTGTATAATAAATAAATTATTGTACCTTTTTCAGGAAATCGAACACTGCTACTATCACGGGACAGTTAAGGACTATCCCGGTGCTTCGGCCGCATTCCACACATGTAATGGTGTGTCGGGAGTCATCCACATCGGGAATGAGACATTCGTCATACATCCCTTCTACGGCGGGGATCTCTCGGTCAGTTGCATGTTCTAAACCTAAATTAAGTTACGAGGGCAGCAAGGGCGTTTCGATGATCTATCTACACCCTCCCTCGCGAGGGGGTGTTTGGGCCCGTTTGGGGCGTATACCCCCTTCGGGTGGTGCGGTACGGGGCCGGGCTTTTAGTGCTTGCTGCAGCGTGCGAGAAGACAGAGGGCTCGACTCGCAGAGCGCAAAACGTGTGTCTTGACTTAACAAAAAGAGCAAGTTGGACATGAAGGCTTTAATACATTAGATAAAGCGATGTTAACGACGAAATATACTTTATTTTTTATATATTGTTAGATTTCTTACTGGCAGGATGGCGTTTTAAAAGAGAACAAAATATTTGCAGACTCATTTAGACTTAACAATTTTAGTGTCAATCTCTAATCGTTCCCCAAAATAGAATGTCGTTCCCAAAATAGAATGTCGTTCCCAATCTAGCCGGCTCTAGTCTTGTTGCCAACCTAGTCCCCCGTTAACCAATTAACGCCCGAGAGAACGACGACATATTCCCGCGTACTACTCGAGAATAATAAACCAATCGTCACTTAACTTATATGACTTAAAGTCCTATCTCCCTCAAGTGGGGCAGAGGGCATCCAACTGTTTTCTAACCAGACTGAACGGTCTTGGGCAGCTCTGATAATTTCACTCCACGTCATTCCAGCTTGACTTGCAATGACTCTTCGTTGCCGGGTCTGTTTTGGGCTGCCACGTTTCCTTTTGCCTTGAGACTCCAGTTCAGGGCTTGCTTGGGAATGTGACTTGGATTCTTCCGGAGCGTATGGCCCACCAATTTCCATAGCGCGTGACTCTCCCCCCAACCAATCCCCGGCTGTGCACCAATGGACTTTCTTTCTATGTGCGCAATTAACATTCGCTCGAACGGTGAAGGAAAACATATTGAGGAAACCGGCTAGCTTTAGACCCAAAAAAGTATACGGCGTGTGAGACACACGAGGCAGATCAAAAAAACATAATCGAAATAACTAACATCAATGAATAGCAACCTAACAACGAAATAAACACGTAATCATTATTTCCAAATAAAACAGTATCAAAGCAATTCAAATGAAGCCCAAACTCAAATACTTTTATGAGAACCACAACCTCAAACATTTCATGTGCATCAAATGGCGGCATCGTAATTACAGTGCATGCCATGTTACAGGTCAGAGAATCCTAAACAAAGCAACGAACGGCCAGAATTCCGAATTGACCGCGACATGTTTCATTATCACTAATTAATAATAGCGATAACAGTGGTCGCTAGGGATCGCCGTGATTGGCAAGTTAACGGGCAATTTAACTAATTTCCGCTATTCAATATACATGAAGATTTCAAATTGATCGAACCGCGGTTAGCTATACATTTTGGTATTTCAACTTAAATTGCTTTTTAGTGGCACCACATAATAATTCTTATCAGTTACAACTAATATTTATTTATTTGGGAAACAAAACAGATACATCTATATACAATAAAAAAATAAACACATTGGATGAATCCACAAAAAGTTTCACTGATAAAAACTATAATACAGAGCAAAGCAAAGCAAAACAAAACATTACAGCACAAAATTTATGAATCCGACACTTATAGGCCTGTATTCACTTTTAATAAGTACGAGTGCGTGATTAGTAATTGACATCCATTAGTGCAGGTGTGTAGTGCAAGTAGTGACCAATTATTCTTTAGTGGCCCTGTTAAGTAAATTCAGTTGACTAATAAATAATAACTAGCAAATAATGAAATAATTATAAAACAACACGACACAATTTTTTGTAACAGGTATTTAAAACTGATTTAAAAGAAATATTAACATTGTTAAAACTGAATATGTACTAAAATAATAATATTATTAAGATACACAGAGATTAGGCCAAAATTCAGCAACCCATAAAAAATTAGATAATATATAATCTTATGTATTCTAACAAGGTCCCTTGATACAAACTGTTGCAGACCCGTATCTGTCACGAGCTCCGACATTTATCAAGACCTTCCTTATATACAACATATCATCAATTTACTTTCACTCCAAGCGTATGAAACAATTTACTAAATAGCGTAGTAAATAATGATACTACACGAGTATGATACACAAATTTGTAAATTTGCTATTCTTCAAACTTCTCAAACATTTCACATGACTAAGTTTTACCACAGAATTTCTGTAAAATGACGATGAAGTATAATAATTAAAGCCATTTTATTTTATATACCTTAAATTTAAATACATTTATATTTATTCCATCTCATTCTTTCTAGATATATGTGTGTCCTTTTTTTGCAGAGACCTCCTTCAAATCTCGCCATTTCTGTCTGCACTGTTTTCTTGATCTGGTCTATCCACCTTCTAAATAGTCTTCCTCTATTGTATTTATTGTACCTTGGGCACCAGTTTAATACTTTCTTGCTCCACTTTACTGCTTCTCTTGCCATGTGCCCCGCCCATTTCCATTTAAGTTGATATGTTCAAGTTCAATGCTTAACTTAATTGTCTCTTGCCTTTGAATGAAAACATCAGTAAGAAATAAATGCTCCTAATTTGATTATAACTGTCAGTTGTCGAATCAAGGTGTAGAACGAGGGGATCAGACCACTCTTTTTAATCGCCAAGTTTTTTTATTTATCTTTTAAATTTTTATTATGATAATAATGTTGGGTTTCTATATTTTAGTCTGTATTTACTTCCAAGTACGTTGAACATTCCAGAACTATGTGTGAAATGGTCTTTATGGACACTACGTAATGAAATACAAGATAATAAATCTTACACTGCCTATTTTCTATAAATATATTTTTTAGTTTTACTTACTAAACTTCCTCTAATCCCTGCGCTCTTAATAACAATTCTACCATTAAATATTACTTCAATGGGTAACTATTTACATTTACATGACATAAAAAACAATGCATAGAAAAATATTTTTTACAGTATAGGAACTGACATGAATCAAACTTGTCAGGTCAACGGACAAGTAAAAACGTGTTTATCTATGCAGTTTATTAATTATTATCATTTGGTGTCTTCATATAGAGGTATTAGGCCCAAAAAAAAATCCAAAAACGAGAGAACGACGACATATTCCCGCGTACTACTCGAGAATAATAAACCAATCGTCACTTAACTTATATGACTTAAAGTCCTATCTCCCTCAAGTGGGGCAGAGGGCATCCAACTGTTTTCTAACCAGACTGAACGGTCTTGGGCAGCTCTGATAATTTCACTCCACGTCATTCCAGCTTGACTTGCAATGACTCTTCGTTGCCGGGTCTGTTTTGGGCTGCCACGTTTCCTTTTGCCTTGAGACTCCAGTTCAGGGCTTGCTTGGGAATGTGACTTGGATTCTTCCGGAGCGTATGGCCCACCAATTTCCATAGCGCGTGACTCTCCCCCAACCAATCCCCGGCTGTGCACCAATGGACTTTCTTTCTATGTGCGCAATTAACATTCGCTCGAACGGTGAAGGAAAACATATTGAGGAAACCGGCTAGCTTTAGACCCAAAAAAGTATACGGCGTGTGAGACACACGAGGCAGATCAAAAAAACATAATCGAAATAACTAACATCAATGAATAGCAACCTAACAACGAAATAAACACGTAATCATTATTTCCAAATAAAACAGTATCAAAGCAATTCAAATGAAGCCCAAACTCAAATACTTTTATGAGAACCACAACCTCAAACATTTCATGTGCATCAAATGGCGGCATCGTAATTACAGTGCATGCCATGTTACAGGTCAGAGAATCCTAAACAAAGCAACGAACGGCCAGAATTCCGAATTGACCGCGACATGTTTCATTATCACTAATTAATAATAGCGATAACAGTGGTCGCTAGGGATCGCCGTGATTGGCAAGTTAACGGGCAATTTAACTAATTTCCGCTATTCAATATACATGAAGATTTCAAATTGATCGAACCGCGGTTAGCTATACATTTTGGTATTTCAACTTAAATTGCTTTTTAGTGGCACCACATAATAATTCTTATCAGTTACAACTAATATTTATTTATTTGGGAAACAAAACAGATACATCTATATACAATAAAAAAATAAACACATTGGATGTATCCACAAAAAGTTTCACTGATAAAAACTATAATACAGAGCAAAGCAAAGCAAAACAAAACATTACAGCACAAAATTTATGAATCCGACACTTATAGGCCTGTATTCACTTTTAATAAGTACGAGTGCGTGATTAGTAATTGACATCCATTAGTGCAGGTGTGTAGTGCAAGTAGTGACCAATTATTCTTTAGTGGCCCTGTTAAGTAAATTCAGTTGACTAATAAATAATAACTAGCAAATAATGAAATAATTATTAAACAACACGACACAATTTTTTTTTAACAGGTATTTAAAACTAATTTAAAAGAAATATTAACATTGTTAAAACTGAATATGTACTAAAATAATAATATTATTAAGATACACAGAGATTAGGCCAAAATTCAACAATCCATAAAAAATTAGATAATATATAATCTTATGTATTCTAACAAGGTCCCTTGATACAAACTGTTGCAGACCCGTATCTGTCACGAGCTCCGACATTTATCAAGACCTTCCTTATATACAACATATCATCAATTTACTTTCACTCCAAGCGTATGAAACAATTTACTAAATAGCGTAGTAAATAATGATACTACACGAGTATGATACACAAATTTGTAAATTTGCTATTCTTCAAACTTCTCAAACATTTCACATGACTAAGTTTTACCACAGAATTTCTGTAAAATGACGATGAAGTATAATAATTAAAGCCATTTTATTTTATATACCTTAAATTTAAATACATTTATATTTCTTCCATCTCATTCTTTCTAGATATATGTGTGTCCTTTTTTGCAGAGACCTCCTTTAAATCTCGCCATTTCTGTCTGCACTGTTTTCTTGAGCTGGTCTATCCACCTTCTAAATAGTCTTCCTCTATTGTATTTATTGTACCTTGGGCACCAGTTTAATACTTTCTTGCTCCACT